ATTGTCGCGAGTGCCTATATGAGACCACCACCGCAAGTAACGCAATCCTTCAGGCGGTTAGTAAACTGCCTTCCAGCCTCGTCGCCGCTCCTGCTGTGCGGGGATTTCAACATGCATCACCCACAGTGGGAGCCATTCTTGGAGACTTCTCCAAGCGAGGTTTCTGCAGAATTTTTAGAACTGTGCACGGATGCGGGACTCACCTTGGTTAACACCCCTGGTGAGATCACGTATGCCCGTGGCACAAGAGAACGATCCTGTATCGATCTGGCATGGTCAAGGCATTTGACTGTGTCGGATTGGTCAGCTTCCGTGTCGCCGCTTAGTGATCATTATATGCTGACATTTACGCTGCATCAGGCATTTAAGGATACCATACCTTCGGCACCTAGTATATTCTACAGTTGGGGAAAGTGCAAGTGGGATTCATTCGTCAAGGACCTCGACGCACAACTTCCGGCATACGACTATAAAAAGCAGTCCACCGGCATTAAGGCTTTCACGAGAGCGCTTATAACTTCGTATCGACGACACTGCCCCCGCGGCATGCACAAGGACGGACCCAGGCTTTGGGACGACACTCTCATGGAGGCAGAGCGGATGGCTACCGACAGCAAGGCCCGCTATCTACAGTTACCGACGCCCGACCGTGAGGCCGAAATGCAACGGACAAGGAGTCAATTCTTCCTCCTACCCCGAGAGCGCTTGCGCAACACGTATCTACGCCGCATCAGCAAGTTAAATCCAGGCGAGCTACTCGCATGGAAATACATTTCCGGACGAAAAAAGGCATCACTTCCATCTCCCACATCAATTTTATTGGGAGGTGGCCAACACACTTACAAGGCAGCAAGGAGAGCAGCGATTGCTCTCAATCGCATCTTTCTTCCATTTCACCCCTCTCACAAGGCAGTAAGGTTTTCCAAAGGCATCAACAGACAGAACACATCTTTGAACATTATTTCTTCTTTTCTTTTTGGACCACGGAACAGCAACGAGTTGATCTCTACATTTGCATCAGGGGTTTTGTCACTGCCCTATTGATGCACCTTTTAATTCTACGGAACTGCTTGCTGCGCTACGTAATACGCCGTATGGCAAGGCCCCCGGACCGGATGAAGTCTACAGTGAGGCACTGTGACATATTTCGTCAAAGGGCCTTCGATTCCTTCTTCGCCGCATTAACCACAGCTGGACGACCGGTGCGATTCCGGCTGAGTGGAGACGCGCTACCATCGTTCCACTCTTAAAACCCGGTAAGTCGCCGGAACTGCTTGAGTCATATCGACCCATCAGCCTTACTTCCATTGTGAGTAGGGTTGCTGAGAAAATGGTACTGAAGAGATTGCTTTGGGTGTGGACGCCGCACCCCCACCAGTATGCATATCGTAGTATGCGTACCACGACGATGCAGCTGGCACACCTGACACAGGAAGTGGAGCATAATAGAAATCACTATTTCCAAGTGAGCCTTCCCAAGAAGAGCGGTATTGGCAATCAACTCCACTACAGACCCCATCGGACCCTGCTGGTGTTGGTTGATTTCAGCAAGGCCTTTGACTCCATAGATCATCGAGTCCTCAGTCGCTTGCTGGCTAATATTCCGGGGGTGAATTGTAGAAGGTGGCTTAGAAACTTTCTATGTGGTCGCTACGCGAAGACACGAGTTGGTTACAGACACGGCGATCGGCGTCCCATGCTGCGAGGAGCTCCTCAGGGGTCCGTGCTGGGACCGTATTTGTTCTCCCTTTACGCACACCCACTTCTCAATCTGCTGAACAGCTTTGCGGGTGTCACAGCAGACATGTATGCGGACGACCTCTCTATTATCGTTAAGGGGCAGTCCCGGGAAGACGCCATTCCCACAGCCAACATGGTTCTTGGAAAGACTGCATGCGTGGAGTCAGGAAAATGGCCTGGCCATCAACCCGTCAAAGTGGGAAGCTGCTTGGTTCACACTTTCCACGCACACGGAGTCAGATTCTGATCGCGAAGGAAGGTGGCCGCTGGTAGTGGCTGGATGTCAAATCCCAGTCATGACCATGGGGGCATCGCGAACTACGAAGCTTCTCGGCATGGATCTTGATCCACGACTGACGCTAAATGTGGCGGCCTCCAAGCAATGCGCTGCCAATTCGCAACGGATATCGCAGCTACGCTGCATAGCGCACAAAGAGGCGGGACCATCTCCACATGACCTACGCACGTTCGTCATTGGATACGGTGCCTCCAAATTACGCTATGGCAGCGAGCTCATATGGGCAGTATCGACGGATTCAGCGAAGAATGAGATGCAGAAGACGTACGCTACTCTGGCACGCATTGTCAGCGGAGTTCCGAGCACTGCCGACCCGGAATCCGCACTACTGGAGGCTAATATGCCGCCGCTCCACGTCCTCTGCCTGCGCGCACGGCTCTCAATATTTGAGAACACACGCGCATGTCAGACGGACTGGATGCGGAGACCCCCGCCTGAGCCACCGCCTCGCGCAGGTTTCCGCATCTCGCCATTATCTCGGGACGAGCTATATGCCTTCGTAGACGCATACACAAAGGACTATGGCATCACCGAGAGCTCACCACGCGAAGAGCGGTTCTTTCGCAGCTCCATTCCTTCCTGGTTTGCGGCCTCCGCACACCGGGTCACCATCGGCGTGGAACTTCCGATAGACCACTCAATAACTGACGAGAAAGAGCTGATACGGGAAAGGCGCAGAGTCAGCGAAGAGGCTCTAGCGCCGCACAGCCATCGTTCGTGGATACTTGCGACCGATGGCGGTGTCGACGTTCCCAAGTCAGCCGGGGTTGGAATACTGCTTTCATCCCTCAACTCATCGGAGATAATAGAAAAGGCCAGCATAAACTGCGGTGCACGCCCATGCAGCTACAGGACGGAATCCCGTGCGCTGCTTCTAGCCCTAGAGAAGCTGATGATCCCTCGTATCCAACACAGGCGTAAAACCCTGCTTGTGGTTACGGACAGTCAGTCTCTTCTAGCGGCTCTAAACAAGGGCCCGCTCAGTCAGACCGACTGGACGGAGGATCGGATCTGGCAGCGTCTCTTGACACTGACGTGTGCTGGCTGGTCCGTGCACCTGCAGTTTTGTTACGGACATTGTGGAGTACATGCTAGCGAGCTTGCAGATCAGCATGCGACGCAGACTATGGTAACTGGACAATACACGGAGCAAGGAATCGCACCTTCATGGCATACGGATCTGCTGACATGTTTTACTACCCAGCTCACCAACAAGTGGCGTAGCACCATTCGTCAAGACACTCATCGCTACTTGCTTTGCGGCACAAGGCCATCCGATCTCAGCGGTAAGGACCTGATCGCTCAGGAATTTCTACACCGTCAGGAACTGGTTCACCTCGCAGGGGCAAGGTGCGGGGAATCTGAGCTCTGGGGCCGACTATACTGGGCCGTGAGAGATTGCACGAACCAATGCCGTTTCTGCAACATCTCACCGGAACAGTCTGCATATATGCGCTCTAACAACGATCCAATGCACCGGGGACGGACACTGTTCCCCCGTGGGCGAGGGAGGATGACGTCTCTCCAGTAAGGAGACGGACCCTCACACGCCGTCGGAAGGAGAAATGTCCGCACTGTGATTCTACATTGACGGGATTCTCAGGTCTCGTCAGTCACTGTCGGTCATTTCATCCGGAACATCCTCCACCGCTTCCCGAGCTCAAATGCGATTTCTGTGACATGGTTTTCCCCACACGGAGAAGCACCGCACAGCACAGAAGTCGCTGCGCACACAACCCAGACGCCACACGGCATCGAAACAGCAGTGCCAGGCGGCGATCTCTGCTGCCGCAGGATCAGCCAGCTTCCACAAGCACGCCAATCGGTCCGCAGGAAACCTTGCACCATCTGCTTCTAGAGTGTCCAGGCACCTTGGCTGTGCGCCAACGGCTGGGCATTGAACAGGAACTTCGCCTCGGAAAGTTCTCTCAATGGCAGTTGCTTCATAGCAGGAAACTCATTTTGCTGCTCGACCACCTCTTCGGCACTCAGATGGCATTGTATAGCTAGACGCGCTGGTAAGAGTAGGAAAAAAAATAATGACCTCATTACGTCCAATACCACCGATGTGTACGGGCGATGGGACTGTATCCATGGTCCTCAAGCACACGCCCCCGCCACTAAGGAGCCCACAAACAGCGGTGCGTGCAGCAGAGCCACACAGACCACATCTTCTTTAAACAAAAAAATAAAGAGAGTAGAGACGTCTGGTTCGAAGGTGACTTGTCCCTGCCGACAGTGAGCAGTGGCGAGCGTATCACCTCGTGTGTGGACACACCACTGCTGCTTCTGCTTTTGGGACTGTGTGTGGTTGTGGCAGTGTTCTGAGCCACGGAGTGTGGCGTTGCGACTTCTCACAGAGAATATTTGCCGCGTTCCCTGCGGGCCTTCTTTTTTTGATGGTCTTTTTAATGTTGTTTACATGGAACAATGGGAGTACCTTTTTCTTTTGTTTTACTTAATGGTCATTTGCTGCGCACCGTCATGAGTGAATTGTTTTCCCTCTTGATTGCTTCTGTTGCCCACACGCGGTACAGGCCCCACGGCTGTGCGCTCCACGGAGGACACAAAAGGAGGAGTGGAGAGACAGGCCGGATGCCGCATGACGTGTGTGGGATGTTGTGTGGGCTTGTGGAACAGTAATAATTTTTTCCTTGTGCAGGTACTGTACGCATGTACATATAAACACAGTCCTGCTTTGCTGCATGGCGTACGAAATGATGGTTCTGCTGAAGTGTATTTTTTTTGGAGGAGGAGACTCCCGTTGGGCACTCAACTACTCTTTTTTGTTTTGGTATTGCTTTTTTACTTCTGGTGTGCGGGTCGGTGTGCGTTCCTCTGCAGGGCTGCTGCCGTTGTTTACGGTGAGTGTTACTTTGTGATTTGTCTCTGCCTTTTGCTTTCAATCTGCGTTGACGTGTTGTTAGTTTGTGCTGAAGGCCACACGCAAGTGACAGGAGTGATGGCGATGATGATGACTGGCCGTGTGCTGCTGGTGTGTGCCCTCTGCGTGCTGTGGTGCGGTGCCGGCGGTGGCGATGGCAGTGCGGTTGAGTATTCCTTCGCGGGACGGCTTGCTTGGCTGCGGAAGGAATGCGCAGAGGAGGTCGGCAGGAGGATAGGGGGCCGTGTGAATGTGTCGGCCGTTGAGGAATGCGTGCGTCGGGGGATGGACGGTGTGCGTGCCGTT